CTTTGAAAAACCACCTTATCAGGGTCCACCGAATTAAATGAAGGTATACCCAAGTTACGCAATTTCTTCCCGTGAATAAGTCTACATTTTTCAACCCTTTTATCATTGTAATTTTCATATTTACATTTTAAGGATGCAAAATCAACCCAGGAAACCAAGATCTTGAATTACTCCAAGTTCATCAGTACTGTTTCCTCCTCATCAGTACTGGTGGTATTAATAGGGTATGTACCCTATTAATACCACCTCTTGTTCTGTCTTGTGTTGATGAAATTAATACCCTATTAATGCCACCTCACCCCATCCACCTCACTCAAATGTAGATATAAAATCGGAGATGCGTAAGTTCTATTCAGTTGTGTATTTGTAAACTGAAGTCTTTGAAAATGTAATAAGTTTTACGAAACGCGCTCGTGTCGCGTCAGACTAGAAATAAAAATGAATTTTGGAGAATTGATTTTTGATTTACCTCCAACAGTGAAAAGAAATGTACGAAAGATTGAGAAAATTCGTGTTAGAATTATTAATCTTACTTTTTCGGTCATATTTAATAATATATGTCTACAGGAAAGACTGCTACCAAAATATACTAATATATATATATATATATATATATATATATATATATATATATATATATATATATATATATATATATATATATATATATATATATATATATATATATATATATATATATATATATATATATATATATATATATATATATATATATATATATATATATATATATATATATATATATATATATATATATATATATATATATATATATATATATATATATATATATATATATATATAAGTTATGTTAAAAATAGCAACAAAGTTCCCTGCTATATAACAATTGGTAGCGTAACTCATCAACTCTAGTCAAGGGGGCCGATGGCTGACTGGACAGCACACTGGATGCGTGTTCCTGTGGTTGCGGGTTCGATTCCCGGCGCTGGCGAGAAACAATGAACAGAGTTTCTTTCACCCTGATGGTCCTGTTACCAAGCAGTAAATAGGTACCTGGGAGTTAGTCAGCTGTCATGGGCTGCTCCCTGGTGTGTGTGTGTGTGTGTGTGTGTGTGCGCGGTGTGGAAAAAAAATAGTAGTTAGTAACAGTTGATTGACAGTTGAGAGGTGGGCCGAAAGAGCAAAGCTCAACCCCCGCAAGCACAACTAGGTGAATACTCTCAATTAGCAATAACAGAGTTTGAGATTACTGCTGCCATTAAATATTATTAGGGCTGATGTTCAAGTTTGAAATCGTGGGACATAGCTAAGTGCCCAGAGAACTTGCTACTATATCTGAGGTAGAGGTAAGAATATTCAGGTCACCTGGAGCTAATGATCATAATTTTTATAACAATTCAACATTTAAGGCAGCACTAGAGTGGTCTCATCATTTAACAATAATATACCTATGTGATAAAGATATACACTCATCATGTAACCCAGCTGAGATTATATATAACCTCAGGAGTATAATTAACGCCTTCAAAGCAAACAATTCAATTGTTATGTTTACTCTAGTAGAGCCACGACAACCACTAGAAAATAATCACTGGGAGTTAGTTTTGAGTTTTATACGTGCTCAGCCAATAATATAAATTATCATCTCAGGAGAAGGGTATGGCTGGGATCCACCTATATTCCCTTTACTGCTCGACTATTCCGGAAGAACATCTCGCCAGATGGAGTACACCTCTCACGAGAATCACGAGTATACGTAGCTAATAAATAATTAATACCATTAAACACAATAAGAGGATGTGGGGAGAAGGCTACCCATTACCTGGTTGATACCTGGTTGATGGGGTTCTGGGAGTTCATCTACTCCCCAAGCCCGGCCCGAGGCCAGGCTCGACTTGTGAGAGTTTGGTCCACTAGGCTGTTGCTTGGAGCGGCCCGCAGGCCCACATACCCACTACAGCCCGGTTGGTCCGGCACTCCTTGGAGGAATAAATCTAGTTTCCTCTTGAAAATGTCCACGGTTGTTCCGGCAATATTTCTTATGCTTGCTGGGAGGACGTTGAACAACCGCGGACCTCTGATGTTTATACAGTGTTCTCTGATTGTGCCTATGGCACCTCTGCTCTTCATTGGTGCTATTCTACATTTTCATCCATGACGTTCACTCCAGTACGTTGTTATTTTACTGTGTAGATTTGGTACTTGGCCCTCCAGTATCTTCCAGGTGTATATTATTTGATATCTCTCTCGTCTTCTTTCTAGTGAGTACATTTGGAGGGCTTTGAGACGATCCCAATAATTTAGGTGCTTTATTGCATCTATGCGTGCTGTATATGTTCTCTGTATTCCCTCTATTTCAGCAATCTCTCCTGCTCTGAAGGGGGAAGTGAGTACTGAGCAGTACTCAAGACAGGACAACACAAGTGACTTGAAGAGTACAACCATTGTGATGGGATCCCTGGATTTGAAAGTTCTCGTAATCCATCCTATCATTTTTCTGGCGGTCGCAATATTTGCTTGGTTATGCTCCTTAAACGTTAGTTCGTCAGACATTATTATTCCCAAATCCTTTACATGCTGTTTTCCTACTATGGGTACATTTGATTGTGTTTTGTACTCTGTATTATGTTTAAGGTCCTCATTTTTACCGTACCTGAGTACCTGGAATTTATCACTGTTAAACATCATGTTATTTTCTGATGCCCAGTCGAAAACTTTATTAATATCAGCTTGAAGTTTTTCAATGTCCTCAGCCGAGGTAATTTTCATACTGATTTTTGTGTCATCTGCAAAGGATGATACGAAGCTGTGACTTGTATTTTTGTCTATATCTGATATGAGAATAAGGAAAAGCAGCGGTGCAAGGACTGTACCCTGAGGTACAGAGCTTTTCACTGCACTTGGACTAGATTTTATATGGTTGACAGTTACTCGCTGAGTCCTGTTTGACAGAAAACTGAGTATCCAGCGTCCTACTTTACCGGTTATTCCCATTGACTTCATTTTGTGTGCTATCACGCCATGGTCACATTTATCGAAAGCCTTTGCGAAGTCCGTGTATATCACATCAGCATTCCGTTTCTCTTCTAATGCCTCAGTGACTTTGTCGTAGTGCTCAAGTAGCTGTGAGAGGTTATCTTGAGATGATTTCGGGGCTTTAGTGTCCCTGCGGCCCGGTCCTCGACCAGGCCTCCACCCCCAGGAAGCAGCCCGTGACAGCTGACTAACACCCAGGTACCTATTTTACTGCTTGGTAACAGGGGCATAGGGTGAAAGAAACTCTGCCCATTGTTTCTCGCCGGCGCCTGGGATCGAACCCAGGACCACAGGATCACAAATCCAGCGTGCTGTCCGCTCGGCCGACCGGCTCCAATCCTGTGGTCCATGTAGGAGAGGCACGATCTTCCCGCTCGAAATCCATGTTGGCCTGGGTTGTGAAGGTCATTGGTCTCCATGAACTTGGTGACCTGACTCCTAATCACTCTCTCAAATACTTTTATGATGTGCGATGTTAGTGCAACTGGTCTATAATTTTTTGCCAATGCTTTGCTCCCTCCCTTGTGTAGAGGGGCTATGTCTGCTACTTTAAGTGCATCTGGTATCTCCCCCGTGTCCAAGCTCTTCCTCCACACTATACTGAGTGCCATTAAGTGTATATATTTTTCTTAAGCTCATAGAGATCCTCCAAACATATAAAATAAAAACCGTAATAAAGTATTGCACCATACTATTTCCTGCACAATACTGAACCATTTAATTAACTGCCAATCCTTATGTGTGGGAGTTAGGGCAATATTAAGAGCTGAACTGAATAATGATCAACATTGCCTAATCCAATTAATTGTGCTGTCTTGGTGTAAGAGTGGGATATTACACTTGTCTAGTGTTGAACTAAATGTTGTACAGCCTAGCAAGTATTTAAATATTCTGCAGACCTCTTTCTTTAGGGGCGCCTGACAGCTGAGTGGACAGCACTTAGGATTCGTAGTCCTGAGATTCCGGGTTCGATCCCCGGTGAAGGTGGAGACAAATGGACAAAAAGTTTCTTTCACCCTGATGCTCCTGTTCACATAGCAGTATATAGGTACCTGGGAGTTAGACAGCTGCTACGGGCTGCTTCCTGGGGATGTGTGACAAAAAGGAGGCTTGGTCGACGACCGGGCCGTGGGGACGCTAAGCCCCGAAATCATCTCAAGATAACCTCAAGAAGATAACCCCATGATGGGTGGGATAATCAGTAACACGAGTTATGTTATATAAACATACTCAAATTCTTTGCATTATATCACAATTTTTTATCTCATTGTAATTCTTTCATCTTTGAGTGTTAAGAAGTGCCTCTACTCTATCCGTTGGTGATAATGATAAACTAACTTAGGAAAATCCTGTAGTAACACTGATTGTCACTCAAATCTTTGTATATATTTACCATTTACCATATATGTGCTATCTTCTTAGGAAGTAGGATACCTTAACTTGAGGATACTTTGAGATGATTTTAGAGCTTAGCGTCCCCGCCGCTCGATCGTCGACCAGGCCTCCTCGTTGCTAGACTGGTCAACCAGGCTGTTGGATGCAGCTGCTCGTAGCCTGACGTATGAATCACAGCCAGCTTGATCAGGTATCCTTTAGAGGTGCTTGTCAAGTTCTATCTTGAACACTGTGAGGGGGTCAGCCAGTTATGTCCCGCATGTGTAGTGGAAGAGTCTTGAACAGTCTTGGACCTCTGATGTTAATAGAGTTCTCTCTGAGAGTATCTATTGCTAGGATAAGATATCTGGGATAGGAGTACCTAGGATATTGTAGCCTAGTGACAGAAACTTTAACCCTATTCTACTACTGCCAGTACTTGCTCAGCATCTACAAGCAGTACCCAAGCTACATTAGCAACCAAAGTCGTTTAAACCCTTCAAGGTTTAAACGAACAGCCAATATAGCTACTCCAAAAATGCTGAAAAGATCCTTAATAGGCCTTAAAGGCTACCTAACAAGACAACTCAATAAATGTGAGACATTACCACAAGAGTCCCCAGTTGATTATAACCAGCTGGAAATTCTCAATGCCAGCAGGTGTACTCAATGCTAGTAACACTGAACCTGTTGAAACAGACCAAATCGTGGCAGAATTAGCACTGTACGAGGATGATACTCAACTGAAGTTCAATCCTTTACTTAAATTACTAACTGCACATAAATTAACTCTTAACACAACAGTGTCTCAATCCAGTGCAGCTCAGTCAAAGACACGATTACCTGCTTTGGATTTGCTAACTTTTGCTGGACTGGATGAAGAAATTGGGACACCTTTTGGATGTCTTTTAACACACATGATCATTCTAAGACATTCATATCAAAGGTGACAAAATTCACATACCTTCAAAGCCTCCTCAAAGCGAAAGCTAAAAAGGTTATAGGTAATCTGTCCCTTGATGAGGACACCGGTGATATTACTGTACAGTTGTTGAAAGACAATTACTACAACAAAGAATTAGTATAACTAATATTTTCTATCAAATTAATGGATTTTAATCCTGCTACCAATCGACCAGACTCCCTTCAAGACTTTAGGTTAGAAATGGAGTCAATTGTGATAGCCCTTAGCCCCAAAGTAAATGTGCAGGCTTCCGAATGGTTATTGAAACTGTTCATCCAGAAGAAACTTGGTCGGGATGTTTTAGCAGAAATCTGCTCCCACTGTAAAACAGATATCCTATTCCTTGATGAGATCTTTGTGGGATTGAGAATAACTGTCAACTGGCTGAAAGCTCATGACAAAATCAAATCTGACACTGACAGGTAACCCACTGATAAATCAGTGCGACTAAAGAGTACAACAAATAAAACTAATAAGTCTAAGACAGTCATCACCACTGCCGTGTGACGTGTGGACGTATGACAATGTAGGCACGTAAACAGTGGAGCCGTCTAAACCTACAGTCACTGTGTCACCCAAGGCAGTGACTCCCAAAACTACTGTAGGATGGAGAGATTGTTTGTTCTGCCAATGGGTACATTCGATATATCACTGCCAAAACAACCCCGATCATGCTACACATATAAAGCAACTCAAAGAGTTACGTAAATGCACCAGGTGCTTAAAATCACATGACTATAATACCTGTGTAACACAACTACACACTTACAATAGGTGCCATAAGGGTCAACACCATACAGCACTGTGTGTGGGGACACCAGACCAAGGTCGCCCAAACCCCAGGTGGAAGAAGAAACTTCTACCACAGTACAGTACTGTAAAGTACGACTGGATGTAAATGTGCTAACTACAACGTCAGACTACAATGCTACTTTGCCCACTGCCTAATTACTTATAAAAAACAAAGGTTCCAAGGCAACCACAAGTGGTTTATTTGACCAAGAATCCTAAAAGAAGTTTGTGACAGAGAAGAGGCAGATGCCTTAAACTTTAACGAATACGACAAGTAAAACTGAACATCTCAGGGTTCCTGACCAACAGAGGACCCCAGGACTACAAAGTGGTTCAACCACTAGTATGCCAAAGGGCTATGCCCAACTGGTATAGGTTGGGCATAGTAGTAAATAAAAATCCCATCTGACCAATATGTTCATGGTCTAGGAAATACAGCCAAACTCCTCCAAAGGAAGGTAATCAAGTAGGCTGACAACAAAATTGCGTCTGACCCCCCTCACCGTTATAGGAATACTTGTAGGTGCAGACTATTATTATAAATTCATCTTTGGAAGTACTAACCAGCAGGAAATGAACCTGTTACTGTCTGCGGGAGGCAAATTGCACACTTGCCCAGTACTGAGTCAAAGGCATCCCACATCTGTGGACAGCAATCAAAGCAACCCAGTGATGGTTGTGTGATTAGGCAGAGAGCAGTCACCACTTAAGTTCAAAGTGGTGACTGATGTTCATGTTCGAGAATGAGCTTGATCCCCCCATACATAAATTATGGGATCTTGCCACCTTTGGCATTGTCCCTGAACAAAGTAGTCCAGATAATGCATGGACGTACAAACAGTACCTGGACTCAGTCATTTACAAAGATAATCAATACCAGGTCAGGTTACCTTGGAAGCTGAATCACCCTCAGCTTCCAATAAACCATTTCATGGCACTAAACCAATTAAGGTCTCAGGTGTTGCACTTGAATAAACAATCTGAGATCCTGGAATTGTACCATGAAATAATCCAACAATAGCTACCTAATAAATTCATCGAAGTTTTTTTTTTTTTTTTTTTTTTACTTTTATAAAAGAATACACAATGTACAAAACAGACACCCGCCGAAAGAACAAGTTATAAACATACACAGGACAATATAACAAAGGAAGTAAACCACGGATACACTAAACATACCCAACAAAAACCAAGAAAGAAAACACATGACACAAGGCACAAAAAAAAGAGAACCCAGAAATGGGGACAGTATTTACCACAAAAAACAGAACATGACATAAATAGCACACAAAGAAATAACATAAAACATAGGCACATCCAGGTGCATAAAAGTACAGAACAACAGGCCTCCGAAACCCCTAAGAGGCAAAATTACAAAACTACATTAAACAAAAAACATGGAAAGACAGAACATTGAAAGTCAAACAGAAATAACTGAGTACATTTCTTGTTTCTTACTCCATTTCCTCATGCATAATTAAAAAGACATAATACAAAGGCAGAACACAAAACACAAATCAAGAAAGAACAGATAAATAATACATAAATAGCACAAGGCAAAGTACATGGCACATAAAAAGAGAATTAACAATCAGTAATGGCAAAAATAACACTCATAACACAGGAACAGTAGTACATGAAAAGGGGGGGGGAGGACAAAACATAAACCCGGGCACCCCCCCCCCACACAGAAAATCACAAAAGACAGAAGAGGCTCCAAAGACATAGGAGCATACAAGCATACATACCATAAAGAACAAAAATGCACAAAACATAAAACCCATACAAGGCAAACAAAAAGGCCCACGCAGGAGCCAGGGAAAACATAAAACCACACCCACACACAAGCACACCCAAACGAGCAACCACAACAGAAACAAAACAACCACACACACACACACACACACACACCCCGCCCAACCCCCGCCGAGGAGGCCCATCAGAGGACCGGGGACCTAAATCAAACCGGAACAAGACCCACCCAACCAACCCACAGCCAACATTCACGAGCCCAACCCACGACCAATCACTCAAAAGCAGCCCCACGAACATACGCACCAGTAAACCAACCACAAAAATCATCCGGAAAAGCACGCTGCAGCCACCACCAGGTGAACCGTAAGCGTCCCCTCAAAAACCCCAAAACCCTATCAACCCCATAACCCTCCCTCCGGCCAACCCACACACAATACACATAGTCAGCGACAAGAAGACAGAGCGTATTACGCACCGGTCGAGAGCCCCGCGGAAAAGACAAAAACAAAAACGGCAAAAAACCACCGCGACATCCCGGCCCACAAACCACGGCCAACACAGCACGAAACCAATCAAGCAAACCACTCAGCCTCTCACAAAAATAGAAAACATGTAACTGAGTTTCAGGCAAACCACAGTGGACACATGCGTCAGAGGCACGCAAACCCAGCATGCACAACCGGTCATTTGTCGTCAACGACAAATGCAACATGCGAAACAACAACTCCCGCTGCTGCGGTGCCAAAAACCGCGCCCCTAACGCCGCCCACACCTCCCCCCAATCCCAACATGGGAATAAAGACTCCACCCGCGGCTGAACACGACAAAATAGAACCTCATAAATCGCCTTCACTGAGAGACATATAACCCGGACAACGACAGACAGCCCGAAGAATGTCTACCGCCCAGGAGTAAACAGGAGGGGTACAAAAGGCCACCTCCCGACAAACACCGCAATCCACCAAAAAACTAAACCGGACCGAACAATAAAAAATACACAAAGCATTGAGCCCCCCACCCAACGCTAAACCCTGACGCAACGAGACCCAGAACAGCGCCCGAGCCCTGGTAAACACATCAGGAATACCAACCCCACCTTCCCGCACCGCTAACACCAACGTCGAGCGACGAACCGGGTGGTAACGACCACACCACATGTACCTATAAACCTGACGTTCCAACCCCAGAGCCAGCCGGCGATCTAGGGGAAACACCGAGCCACGAACCAGACACGGGACAGAACTTTACAAGTAACAAGCAACGCCCGCTGATAAATTGTTAACGGGCGCGCAGCCAACAACCCAACCGCAACACCAACACCACGAGAAACCGCACCCCAATTAAATTCCAAAGATCTCTCGTAAGAAGCGAACCAGGTGATCCCCAGAACACGCAGAGAGGAGACCACCGGGAACCAAGACCCCTCCCACACAAGGCGAGAGGACCACCCACCGATACCCATAAGACCAGATTTGGCACGATTGACCTGGGCCCCAGTGGCCAACTCAAACCTCTCAACCACGACCTGGACAGCCCGAACAGAACCAGCAGAGGCCACGAACAGGATGGTATCATCCGCATAACCGCAGATGGGTAACCGAAGATCAGAAGGCAGCCGCGGGGGACGGATCAACGCACAAGCCTTGACCGCCCGAAAAAAAAGCTCCTGAAAGAGCACATAAAGGAGCATGGAAAGCGGACAACCCTGCCTCACCGAACGGCGTACAGGGAAAGCAGCACTCAAGAACCCATTGATGCAAACCCGACTGCAACACTGAGCGTACAACATACGCACCCAACGAACAAACAAAGGCGGAAAACCAAGCCGCTCTAACACACGAAAAACAAAAGCTAACGAAACACGGTCAAAAGCCTTAGACCAATCCAGGCAAAGCATCGCTGCTGACAAGCAAGAGCCCGACACGTACAGAAGCACATCCCGAAATAACGCATTGCACTGCAGTAACGAGCGACCTGGAACACCACAAAACTGTTCCACGGAAACCACAGACGCAACCACACGGCGACACCTACCAGCTAAAATCTTGGACATGATCTTATAGTCTACATTCAACAAAGTAATGGGTCTCCAGTTCGAGAAGAACCGCAAATCGCCCGGCTTTGGGAGCAGCCGCACAATCCCAACGCACTGAGACGCAGGCAGAACGCACCCCCGGAGGCAAGTCCGGACCACCTCCAAAAGAACATCACCCAACACATCCCAAAAGGCAACATAAAACTCGACAGGAAGACCATCCGAGCCCAGCACCTTCCCGGAACGAAACGACCTCACCACATCGAAAAGCTCCCCAACGAAACATCTTCCTCCAAACCAACACAATCAGCAGCAGACAGCCCCGGAGCACAACCACCCAAAAAACCTTCCGCAATCGCGTCGTCCCCTACCACCTCCCCATAGAGCGCAACCAACTCCTGCCGCACATAATGCAACACACCACCGGTGTCCGAAACAACGGATCCATCCGGCCGTTGCAGAGCCGTAAAAAGAACACCGTCCCGCGCAGCCTTCACCTTCCCTAAAAGATAAGGAGAGAGCCGTTCCCCGTCAACACGTTCACTCACACGAGCACGCACACGAACACCCTCGGCCCACTCATTCCACAAACCACAAATACGCTCCTTACACTCCGCAATCTCCTCAAAACAGTCAATCCCAGCATTGTACCGCACATACAACCGCGAAAGCCTCGCCTGGAACAACCGCAGCAACCCAAACCTTCCAGCAGCCTCACGTTTGGCAGCCACCCGAAAAAACAACCGACATTGCTCCTTACACCACTCCCACCAATCTAAAACAGAAGGAAAATCACACCGCCGGGCGAGAACCCCGACCCACCAAACCCGAAACTGCCCACAAACCCTCGGAGACTGCAACAACCCACAATTCAGCTTCCACCACCCGGCGCCGACCCATACCTGACTGGGCACACCAACCCGGACCACCACGAGACTATGGTCCGAGAAAGCAACCGGGACAGTGTGGAAAGCAAACACAGAACACCCCCCGCCAGTAACATACACTCGATCAATCCGCGAACGCGCCCCATGCGCAGCAAAAGTAAAGGACAACTCGCCCCCATAGAGCACAGCAGCATCTTTGAAACCGCAAGAACGCACCACCTCCAGCAGCGCACCCGAGACATTCTGCGGGCGGGCGCTACCACAGTCCCGCGCACTCGTCACACAGTTAAAATCACCACCAAAAACCATACTCCGCGTATCATGACGCAGGAAAGGGAGAAGCCCCACCCGAAAAAACTCCTCCCGTTCCCGACGGCGAGCCACCCCCGAGGGGGCGTACACCGTCAGGAACGGAAGAACGACCCCCAAAAACTCAACCCTCACAAACAAAACCCGCCCATCTTCATCCATCTCCGTGTGAAGCACGGAGAAGGAAGCCCTCCTAGAAAACAACATAAGCGTCCCCCCGAAGGACGTCCTCGGCGGGTTGAGCACAACATGAAAATGCGCACTTAAACACTGCAGCACAGACACCTCACGAACATTATGCTCCTGGATCAGAGCCACATCCACACGCTGCTCCTGCAGAACATCCAACAGGCCCAACTGGACCCCAAGATCATTTCAACCACGAACATTCAAAGACGCACAGACAACAGAGGGCGCCATCGGGAGAACCTCAGGACACCCCCAACCCAACGCGTCCCCCAGGGGACACAACCGCACCCGCAGCGGGAGCCACATCCACACCACCAGGCTCAACCCCCTGCCACACCCTGGAAGACGACCGGCCAGGAACCGCCTTCAAAATCACAGGAGACACCATGCGAAGAGGGCGCCCCAGGCGTCGAGGACACCATCCACAGTTTTTCCCCTGCCTCCGCCGCCCCGAGCCCGACACCACGCTCAATGCCCCGCTCATCCCCAGATCCCGCTTCCGAAGGGGGAGGAGGAACCACTGGAGAAGCGGAGGGAGGAGCACCAGCCAAAGGCACACCACCCGAAGCCTCGATCCTCTTCCCAGGGGGCCCCTGCTGTGCGACCGATCCCTCGGAGCGCGCTTTCGTCGAGGAACAGAAGAGCCCAATGCAACCACAGGAGGCACAGCACAAGCGACAGCAGGCGGCTGCGCCAGACTCGCCAGCATCAGGAACACCGCTAGGCTGGCCGTCAGGAGACACAGTATCAACACCGCCCCTGGCCTCGGGAAGCACACTGGCCACTGCACACGGGTCGCCCGCCGGCACCACACCACACACGTCGGATTCCAAGGAGACACTCGGGTCGCGATGTACCTCCGCCGCCACCAGCATAGGCGCACCTGAAGCAGGAGCCGCGAGAGCATCAGAGTCAACAGACAGAGCAGAGGACCCAGCAGCAGACGGAGAGGTAGGGACAGCTGGGGACGACGCCTCCAGAGGCACACCCTCAGAGCCCGGGCCCACTGGGGGCGCCCCAGCCTCCGGCAGAAGTGGAAAATCATCCGCATGGAAAACCGATGGGTCCTCCGGGCGAGGGGCACGGCAATTCATCGAAGTTGTAACAAATGATAACCCTCAGGAGGGACATACTATTGTAAGCAGACAGGCATGATCACACACTAGAACGCTGCGGACAGTGAAGGGCACCGACGACATTTCGAGTCCACCGTCCTGGAAGTCATGCGTCCGTGTACCCCATCAAACAGCTGTGCGCCGAACGTCACCGCCACCCGGGTAGGGGAAAGTCTTGATCTTGGTTACAATCGACTCCACCAAGGGCCAGTGATCAATCGACCCGGCGAACACGGCCACCACTAGTCCAGGACGGATGGCCGCACCACACCGTCAGTTGTCAACACTGACAGCCCCCGTCAGCGCCCTTCTGTTGTGTGTGGTCTGAATCAACATACTCAAGTCATTGTCTTCCATCATTGAGAATTGTGACTCATCGATCAACCTACACGATTGGGACTCACTATTTACCACATCATGCCATACTGAAGGATTCAGTTACAACCTGTATAAGGATAGCATTTAACTGCAGCGCTAAAGCTAAACAAAGTAGTGTCTCGCTGAATGACTGCCTTCAGACAGGTCCAAGCCTAACACAAAGGCTATACATTATGCTATAAAGGTTTCATATAGGGACTTAAGCATACACAGCATATATAAGCAAGACATTCCTTAGGGTAGGTCTCCAAGATGAAGTAACAGCCAATTATGTCTGGTTGTAATTATCATAATTACAGTAACCATAATTACACTACGTTCCTCTGGATCATGGATCCTAGTGATCCTTGATCCAGTGTATAGTGAGATAATCACATACAGGTTTACACCATTTTTGTTTGTTGCTACTTCTTCATCGTTTCTGCTACAAGCATTCTTAGATACACATTTGAAGAAGTCTAATGGCCAAAATAAAACTTATATTAGCAACAACCTGTATGTGGACTATTTCCAGGAAACCACCTGCAGTGAATAACAGCTGCTGAACATAAATCATGGGGCCAATCGAGAGTTGTTGGGAGCAAGTATGCCTCTCTAGTCGTGGACCTCTATCAATACTAAGTTGATAGTGTCAACTTTCAACTGATTGAAACCGAATTTCTCGACTACAAGGTACCTCAGAAGATAAAGGTACTAAGGTGTCAAATGGGATACAACTTTGTTGTATCATCAAATCAAATCAGTTGACCATCAAATCGGTGGAACCACCAACTTAACTAAGAAAAAACTGATATCACAAATCAGTAAACCGTTTGGCCTTTTGGGACTAATAAATCATACTAATAAAGTATAATCTATTTCTGTAAGAATGCTGGCAAGCTAAAATAGGTTGGAACGATCCCCTAACCCTAACACATAAGGGGCATAACTGGCCGACCCCTTACAGTGTTCAAGAGAGAACTGGATAAGCACCTCCAAAGGATACCTGATCAACCAGGCTGTGACTCATACGTCAGGCTGCGAGCAGCCGCGTCCAACAGCCTGGTTGATCAGTCCGGCAACCAGGAGGCCTGGTCGACGATCGGGCCGCGGGGACGCTAAGCCCCGGAAGCACCTCAAGGTAACCTCAAGGTAACTACAGCCTTACAAGAGAAATGGCAACATTTAACTTAGGAGTTAAGTTTTCTTAACAATCTTAAGTTTTCTCGTAACACTGTAAAGGCTAATCAGCCACAGGAAAGGCTTATGGCACAATAGAATATCTAGTTACAAACGAGCGGGCAGTTCTGCTCACATCCAAAGCTAGAGTGGCACCATTAAAGAAGCGATCATTGCCATAGTTAAAATTAATCGCCCTTCTGGTAGGTGTCAGATTAGCTCATTACCTGACCAAAACGTTAAGTGACATCCACTTTCCAGAAACAGTGGTATGGTCAAGTAATGAGGCAGTCTTACAGTGGGTGAGAAATAATAACAACAAAACTTCCTACGTGAGTACGCATTAGGGAAATACGGGATTTGTCACCAGGGTACAAACTGAGATATGTACCCAAAAAGGAAAATCCTCTGGACTATTTCTCCAGAGGTCTGACATTATGGCTATTAGCCAAAGCCGAAATGTGGTTCAATGGACCTCAGTGGCTAGTCAGTGACTAGTGACTTAAATGAAAGTCACAAGTCATTGTCACTAATGTCATTGTTCCCATTGAGACAACAGAACTACCTCGGACCTTGGCAATTGATCCTAATCAGTATTTTGATATGAGTAAACTATTAAGGGTCACACAAAGGGTATTTAACTTCATCAATAAGATAAGGATCAAATATCAATTCCCTAATCCATTAAAGGACTGGGTTAAAAGAGCCCAAGCAGAAATATATGGGATAGACTATGCAAATCTCCCAAAGAAATTAGTGAATAATCTGGGTCTCTGGTTTGACCCGGACAGTAATAACATATTAAGGTGCGGGGAACGTTTGTAACACACAAACATAAATATAGAGGTAAAGAATCCCATGTTTCTTCCCCGTCACCACCCAATAAGCAGGCTCCTTGTGTTAGACACATACAAGTACTGCACTTAACATGATGGGGGTTCTAGATACCCTCACCGACTTAAGACAGCAGTTCTGGCTTCTCCAGGGTTGCCAGACTGTAAAATCCATAATCAAATCTAATCGTAATCTTCACATGTGCCACAACAAAGGGAGAGTATTTAGAAGTGTACCTGATATGAGTGCTGAAGCATTCCTACAGGCTTTCCACAGGTTTGCTGCCCATCGGTCCTGCCCCAAGTTGATGATCTCAGACAATGGCTCCAACTTTGTGGCTGGGGAAGCATGTCAAAGGAAATTCTGGAACCACCCATTGGTACACACTGCCCTGAATCAATGGCAGTGCCACTAGAAGCTTATACCACCCAGAGCACCGTGGCACGGAGGTTTCTACAAGTGGATGGTGGGCACAGTGAAACGCTGTCTTGGGAAAACCCTCCACCATCAGAATAGATCTCCAGAAGTTACAAACCGTTATCACGGAAATTGAGTCTCGAGTCAATAACAGACTACTGACCTACCTCTGTGACGACTACTCGCAACTGGAACCACTGAGGCCCTCTCACTTGCTGTATGGAGAACTTCTGAACCCTCAAGCATCCCTTACGGACGAGGAACCAGAAGACCTTTCGTATGTCGGTGAGAGTGACTTGGTTGAGAGCCTTAAACTCCAGTCACAAGTAAAAAGTCAATTGAATGATGTTTGGACCCGAGAATATCTAACTGCTCTGAGTATGAGAGTATAGCATTGTCTTCACTATGGGGCAAATAACCGCCCACAATAAGATCAACCTAAAGCCTGGTGATGTTGTTCTGGTGGACAGTGATGGACTGGGTGCTGAGTGGCCTATGTGGTCGAATAGTCTCTGTCCATCGGGACAACCAAGGCATCTGGAGAATAAAGAAAATACAGTGCTGAGGCACCACTACTCTCAAAACTTTAGAAAAACTACTTCCTTTGGATCTAGCTGGAAATTAAATCACACTGAGAACCCCCATGCCTGCAGTTCCTGAACCATCTACCAGTCCAGGAAGGGCAGCAGCACAACACTGCAAACTAAGAATCAAACAGCAATATGATTCTGAAGAATTTAACTTCAACAGAGTTAGCAGGAAAGATTGATGGCTTAAGAGATCTCCATCACCTGCAACACCAGTACATGACATCCTTCCTGTACGAACACACCCATAAACGTGCAAGTAACAATTTAATAATCAGGAGGAGAGGTATCAGTGTTCGCCAGTTCTAAACACTGGACTGTTTAGAACTGGTGAACCTGTGGTTCCAACTCCCCTCCCTTTATCTACTAACTATTTTATCTACTTAACGACACTCTATCTACTAGCCCCTGACATACCAATTTAAAATGGTTATGTCAGGAACATAGTAGTATAACTAACATTACTAACTTCTCAAAGAGAACACATTTGATAGCATTCCAGAGCGAATGGGATGTTGCCACATATGCAAAATCCACTATACATATAATTTCTCTCTTGTAGTAACAAATCTTTTATTATAAAGACTGAATAAGACAAAAAGAGTCCTTATTAATAGTTATTTTACCTAAATAATCAGTAAATCAAGCGTCTCTCTCTCTTACGTTGATAATGAGGAGTTTTGAACCAAGCTGAGGAAGCATCCCCAGCTGGGGAGGGTCTTGACGCCATTAAACTGGAAGCACGCGACCTGAGCGCTTGGCAGAGAAGACGCTTGCACGTTTTATCGCTTATTTGCCAAACAGTCACAATTCCCGAGTTCTTGACACAGTAATATTTGCATTTCAACCCAAACAACGAACTCATCGTACCAGGGAAGTGTTATTTCCGAGCAATTGTCGTAATTTATGTTAATAGCCATTATCATGATGTCTTTAGCATTGCCCGGTTATGATGCAAGCGCTCTAACAAAATGGGTAGGGCTAATTATTAATACAAATTCATCTTATTTGAATATGCGCTGTGCAGTGGTAACAGTGTACTACTTATGACTTATCTGGCAGGCATAGTACACGAGAAGAGAGTATCGAGTCGACTTGGTGCCTAGTGGCACCACTAGGCTACCTAGGTCACCATAAGGCTCCTCCCAACAATGTTCTCAGATTTACAGAAGGAAACCTGTGCCTAGTAGTAGGCCTTTACGACTCAAGAGATAAAAACGGAAAGTTTCCACTACTGCATGTAGTAACCAAACTAACACTTCGCAGTTTACTGCTATCCACCGCTGGTGGTATAGGCTATGAACATACAACCCCCCCCCCCCAAACTTGTGGATAGGATCACATCCAGCAGGACAAACCAGTGATATACAGTTCATTCCTAATAAACAGTCCATTAATAATTAATTATCTTAAACTATATTGTTATTAAATTAACAGTGCATATATTAATTTCCTCTTGGAATATATTCCCCACAGGTGTCCAACTGCTGGACACTTTTCATTACCAGAAAAGTGGCAGTGTTGATGGCTTCAGTGTGGTTACTTCAAGATTCAAGTACTCTCAAAGCTCTTCTAAGATTCTTGGTTGCTTCACATTCCATGAGA